CCACCCCCCACTCAAAAACCCCCCACACAAACAAATCCAAGGACTGTGGAACTACTACAGGTTTTCCACACAAAAGATGTATTCTGTTGATTCATCATTTCAATTTTGTTGTTCCCATATTCTGCGAATTTCTTCTTTCTAACAAAATAGCTGCCATCATGCAAAATGAGCTGCGTACAAGCTTATTATACCAAGAGCAAAATGAAAAGCTCTATTGAGAACAAAATAGGCTGTGTGATGACGCTAGACAAAAAAAATAAAAATTATACAACGGAAAGAGTTGAATGTTGGCAAGTACCTGCAAAAAGATAGATAGGTCCCCATGACGGAGCCTGATTTTTTATTTTTACTAATTTCCAGAATTTAGAAAAATATATTTGACAAAATGTTCCCGTCCTTCTTTGGCCTTTGTGATTATTCCACTGAAAAACTAAACAAATCTGCATAGCTGTCCTCCACAGCCGAAGTGCCCAAAGTGATATTTTGTGAGGTGCATTTAGTTTTGAGAGTATAGATCTAGACTTTCTAATTTTTTGCATCTCTCAAGATTTATTGCTCCATTCCAGTAGAGTGTAAATATAGTAGGCCAATGACTTTCAGTTGATCTTAATGCACCGATCATTCCTTTCATCGAAAGGGGGGGGCCAGCTAGAAACAATTTTTCTTTCTTTGTTTTGTTTAAGAAATAAAACAATTAGTATGACTGGACACATCGATATGACTGCAGTTTTATTTGACGATCGTTTCTTTCATCGAAAAGGGGGCCCAGCTAGTAACAACATAACACAGGTCACTCACCCTGGCAGCAGCGTACTGGAGATGGACCGGAGGACCGTCTGAGATGGAGCTGTCAGATCCACCATCACTACAGAGGAGAGACAAATTACATAATATGTGAGGCATCGCATCGTGGTGGTCGGTGAAATCGAGCCCTCATCAAAATAGTGAAACTTGAAGAAACTGGCATTTACCCGCCAGTTAGGCAATTTTTATCTTATTTTTCTCTTTTTTGGGGGAGGAGGGGGGCTCAAGATCTTTTACGGGAAATTAAAAATACATTTCTAGGTGGACTTTACGGAAAAAATGTTGATTATGTCATAGGCACAAAAAATTTTAATTTTTAGTTTGCTAGAACTTTCAAGCTTTGGAAGTCACTAAACTTCGGCAGCTATTTTCTCGCTAATTTTACCTCTCAAGCCATGAGCCGCTCTCCCCCTCCCCTTCCTTCAATTGCAAATATTTCAATTTCTATTCAAGATAGATGGGTATTTTTTTCATCAAGAGACAAACTAACAACCTTTAAAAGATGATACCAGTAACTCCACATGCCCCAAAATTGACAAAGGCCTGATTCCACCGCGTCGTGACACATGTCTCAGTAATCTCATGCTTATTGATTGTGATGATTGTAAAAGTATACATCACCCCCCCCCCCCCCCAACCCACACACACACCCCCACTCCTTTATGAATATTATCACTAGGATTTCATAGGAAAGAAGAAGCAGATCACACCAGAGCACCCGCCAACCACCAGCTGTACATGTTTTAAAAAAATTTTTAAGTGCTAATCAGAACTGAAACTAAAAAACATCAATTTGAACAAGCCTGGAACTTTAAAAAAACCAAAAAAAAAAAAAAACCTCAATAAACATGAAAAGAAAATAATTCTAATGCAATGGTTGAGAAACATTGGTTATCTCTGAGAAGAACTCTCTGGATCCTTTCCTGACACGCTTTAACTTTAGATCATTTTAGAGGAGGCCTGTTTTGACCCATAAAAAGAGTAGAAAAGTAGGACCTATCGCGGCACTCTCTACCGTCGTTATCTCTGCTCCTTTCTTGTGTTAGTTACTCTCTTCTAACACTTCTAATCTTCGGCACTTATATATGACCTTACTATGATGCAAGTGCCATAAAACTCTTACTAAAACTAAAACTCTAAAGACCACATCATAGTAGATACAGTTTTAAAAGATTGTAATAATAATAATATGTCATATCTTACTGAATGAGAAAAATCTTACAAAGATGTTTACTGTTACAAGCCGAAGTTAGAGACAAAATTAACGAAGACGAGCTCAATAAAAGATAGGAAACCTTATGAGCATCCACAGATACCCCCAACCATCCCTATAGACAGTGAAAGATCTTGTCAGTTTGTTAGCATTTGAGCGCTTAACCGGCTGCTCGCACTGTATACTTCCCGGAAAGCTGACAATGTTTCTGAGAGTTCTAAGGTCTGCTGGGGTAAAAATATAGTGTAAAGTGCATAGAGCTTGCTTTCGAGCGGGGACATGCACTGTATAAATGCTATCTACTATTATCCCTTCCTCTGAGCTCACCACAGGCAACCTCTAACAGCCCCTTCGTCTCACCACTGACAACGTCCAATTTTTCATTTGTCTCTTCAAAGGCGGTCTCAAACTTTCCATTTATCTCACAACAATCTCCAGGAGTCCATTTATCCCACCACAATCTCCAACGGTCCATTTATCTCACCACAGACTATTTCCTTTTAAATTAATTAAAGTTTTCCGCAACGTGGAACGCAGTTAGGTCATATAATTCTTGAAGATTACAGGTGTTACAGGAGAGGAACTAACGCAAAAAAAAAAGGAGGGGAGATAACGACCACAGATATTTGACTGGAATGTAGCAGCAAACCACATCAGAGCACCCGCTAACCACCCTCGGGTCACCTTCAGATGTTTCTTTTGACTCACCTGGACTCTGTGTCGGAGAGGTCAGTGACCTCCGCACCGCTGTCCGGCTGCAGGCCACGTTGCGCGATCTTGGTCATGACCTCCATCTTGTGCCGGTCCTCAAGGTCAACCAGGATTTTAGCGTACTGAAGCGAGGAAGTAGACAAAAAAAAAAAAGGCAAACATGTTAATTCTACTGAATTGGGAACATAGAGTAGAATGAAAGAGTCAGCATAGTTCATATTTAAGAAAACAACAAGTAAATCACATTTTTTGGGGGGGTGGGGGGTTTATGTAGGCGCTTTTATCAACACAATTTACATATCGTTTGGGGGGCAGGCTTAGACCTTGTCTGTGAGGGCCAACTCCGGCTGAGAGGGATACAACATCCCAGCAGAAAGATCAAGATACTCAATAAAACTGCTCCCCACTCGGGAATCAAACTTGTGTCTCCAGTGTGCAACAGCGGAGTGCATATCCACTACACCACAGACATCAGTGTCAATCATATTGACAAAGAAACAACAATGTGCTAACCATAGTTGACACAGAAGCAACACAATGTGTCAATCATAATTGACACAGGAACAATGTATATATGTCATAATAGGCACAGAGTCAATGTGTTAATCATAAACGACACTGAAACAATGCATTAATCATATTGGACACAGAAACAGCAATGTGTCCAATATAGTAACATGGTGCTGGGTTACCATATATTACAGATACAGTAAAGAGAAGCAGGTTGATGTTATAACAGTCACTTAGTGCCAGGAAAAAGAAGCAAGATAGACTGACAGAAATAACAGAGATGAAAAGAATAGAAATAAGACCTACTATAGTACCACCCTCCAGCCACCCACCCATATACGAATAATATAAATCCTATCAAAAAGAGAGTTCTCAGTTCCTCTATAAAGACATCAGAATGAGAGGAAACAGTTCTGGAAGGATTCGAAAAATAGTTCCCTCGCCGCGCTCACATTGGCTTCTCAAAGTGTTACATATGCCATATCTGATCCAGTTCAAAACTTACTGCATCCAAGAAGCCAATAATAATATTAACAATAATGATAATAATAATGATTATGAGAATATTATTATATATTTAAAAAATAGTAATAATGATAATGATATAAAATAATAATAACAATAATAAAAATAATAATCATCATCATTATAATAATCATAATAACAACAACAATAATCATAATAATAATTTCAGTTATTTAGTGCATGTCATTGATCTACATCATGTTTTATACGCTTTACAACTTACATCACCCCAATAGATCCTGCCTCAAACACTCAAAAACATTCTCGGCTTCCTAGGAAACCTAGTGCGCTAGCAGTCTATTAAACTCTGAAACACTAACAGACTGACAAGATCTTTCGCTGTCTGTACCCGTGAACCCATTCTCATCTAGGTTAAGTGTGGGAAATTCATGTAAAGTACCTTTCCAAACAACAAAACATTAAGCCCCCAGACGGGGTTCCAGTCCACAACCTTTTGTTCAAGAGCCCGACCACTTGACCACCGCATGTCTACATGAAATATCTTTCACTCATGGAGGTGAAAGAGGTCGAAAATGGCAATGAGGACACGGTAAAAACTATTGTCATCCATTCTTGCAATCACAAGACCATGTGCTAAAACCTGGCTGCGCACGGTAGAATGTTGTGTCCTTAGCAAGAACACTGCACACCATATTTCCTATTTTCCTAAATTCAACAAGCTGTAAATGCGCACTCCGCAAATGGTACATATGCAATCAAATTTGTGGGTGCGACCGTATAAGAAGTGGCAAAACGAATTTTTAAAACCACAAAACAATTACTGGGCATTTCAACTTTAAGAATGAGGAAGGAAAAAAAAAGGGTACTATAACTTTATTTTTATTTAGTAGAGGTTTTACAGCGCTCGCAATTGCATAAAGTCATACGAGCGCCAAGGGTGGGATGTAAACAGAAAAGTCTTTACAGGGAATCGGGCTTACTCTGCTGACCTCTCTAGCTTTAACAGCACAAAGTCTGTTTTGACTTTTAAGGCACCCCGGAAATAGTGGGTCACAAGAGTGTGACAGACATACAAAAGAAGTAGAGGAAAATGTCGATAGTAAGAATTAGGAAAGAAAAAGCAGCAGTTCCCTGCTGTAGTTCAGGCACAGTTATGAGTATGACATTGTTGAATCAGCCCATTTACAATTCTACAGAAAATAAGAACACGAAATGTCCCCCCTTTGGGAATGGCCCGAAGACACTTCAGTCAGTGGCACTGCCCCGGGGAGTACTCTAACTTTAAGTTACTTTAACCCAAATTATATTGAAAAGCAGAGTGGCTGACCAAAACTTTAGCAAAATTTATAAATTAACGAGACTGCTCCACCACCAATAGAATATACTGTGACATTAGAGACATCCACACGGAAAGCGGAGTGACCAAAGAATGAAAGCAGAAGAAGAAGAAAAGCAGAAAGTGACACAAAAACCAAGGTCAACTCTCTGGCACTTTTTCCCACATTTGGAAATTCATCATTCTAGCCGTCTCCACCCCAAAACTAAAAGTCCAGACCTTCCACCAACTTATTCAGAACTTCTCACTACAAACCATTATCAGAACAACTCCACTAGTTCTTTTTAAAAAAAAAATAGTAGAGGGTTTTACGGCGCTCGCAACTGCGTAAGGTCATATGAGCGCCAAGGGGTGGGTGTCAACAGAGAAGTCTTTACAGGGAATCAGACTTAGACTGCTCACTTCTCTAGCTTCAACAGCACAAGGTCTGCTTCGACTATCAAGGCACCCCGGAAATAGCAGATCACAAGAGAGTGACAAACATGCAAAAGAAGTAGAGGAAAATGACAATAGCAAGGATCAGGAAAGAAGAAGCAGCAGTTCCCTGTTGTAGATCAGGCACAGTTATGAGCGCGACATAAGTCAGCCCATTTACAATTCTACTATGCTAAACGAGAAATGTCCCCCTTTTGGGAATGGCCAAAAGACACTTCAGTCAGTGGCACCGCCCCGGGGGGGGACTCCACTAGTTCACCATAAAAAGCTGTCAGAATCTATTAACCCATTAACCCATGTATAGCATACATTTGTGTACACGAATCAAAAGTTTTTACAAGAGCAAATTAACAGCAAAGAACTAAACTGTGCCCAAAATGGATGCATTTGAGGCAGTATAGCCTGAGGCATCAAAGTGCATAAAAATAAATGGGCAAATGTAAGTGATCATTACAACAAGAGAGCTCATAAACAAAAGCTTCAGTGATATGCCATTGTGTACAAAAAAAGCAAGTGCAAACTAAGAATAAAATATGACAAACAACATTGCAAAAACGACTCAAAGGACCAATTTTCTCAAGTTCTTTAACATTTACAGTTTATAAAAGAGACTGAAAAACAGGATATGCATTGAGATAGTCGCACTGTCCTTCAAAAACAGACAATAGAATTTGTAGAGTAACTGTCTACTTTGTCATATGACAAAAACAGACAAAGATGATTGCATTTGAAAATCTGAATGTAGATGTTTTTTAATCCCCCATCAACACAGAGTATATGTAGTAACTGTCTACATTGTATATTTTTCTAGAATAGACAACACTATTTGTGTAGTTATTGTCTGAATTCCATATCCTTTTTTTTTACACATATATTATATAGATAATATATGTGAATAATACTCTGTTTTACGTACATGCATGTCAATTGATATTTAAGATGCGATGTCTTTTTCGATGTAATGCTCATTGAGCATTTTTTAAAAAGAAAATGGAAATGAAATTGCGCAGTATAAAGGCTATTTATTTATTTATTTATTTACTTATTTATTTATTTATTTATTTATTTATTTCTTCCTTTGACAACTACACATGTAGCTGCTCCTCAGCCTAGATCCTTGCTTTGAGGCCATCTGTTGTGAGACAGTTCAGAGTACAGAGTACAAATAGTCTACTAATTTTAAAGGAAGACAGCAGAGCAAGTTTTTTTCTTCAAGGAAAAAGCTTTTTCTTGATTTTATCTCGAGTAGCGATAAAGACATAAAACTACAGTGCAGTGCAGTGCAAGTTTTTCTCTCTCTTGAAGGTAAAAGCATTTTCTTGAAATTATCTTGAGTAACGATAAAGACATAAAACTATAGTGCAGTGAGAACAATAAACAAAACATATCGGGCAAGGTTCTATATTGTGAGCAAAATGAAATAGGTCAGTGTTAATATAGACAAAAGATAAATGAACATCAAGTACACCGAAGGACACATCGTTAGAAGGTAACAAAGAGAAAAAATGTTGAATCGATATCCATACATTTTTTTCCACAAAACGTTTCGAATCAGCAGAAGAAAAAAAATCAGATAAATAGAATGGCATGTTTCCACATCGAAATTCAAAAGAAGCCCTATCATTACAAATGAAAATCGGCTGGTTTTATCAAATTCTACTAAAATAAAACCCAGTGATGAAGCACTATACTACCTTCTAACAATATATCCTTCAAAATGTGAAGATGGTGTCATTATTTCATTGACAACACAAAAGTTAAAATGTTAGAGTTAGTTACCATGGTCAAACAAGGGTAAGCCAATCACCACACATTTGTGGTGAAATCGAGAACAAAGAGAAAGAATGGCAATAAGACAAGGGAAATTTACACACACAGCATAGGGTTACACAATTTGCACTTGACCCTTAATAATTCACACAATAAAACCCTTTCACAATTATATCTTTAATAAGTTTACTCTCTCATAAAGGAAAAAACATTACGTAGTCTAAAACAGCTTCATGCGCTGCTCACAGTTGAAAGCTCCGATTCCCGGATTTGAAAAGTCAAAACATTACGTTTTAGTTTAGTATGGGGTTTTATGGTGCTCGCAACTGCATCAGGTCATATGAGAGCGCGAAACACAAGTTACTTTTATTCGCAACAGTTCACTGTACGGCTGGGCTCGGGTCAATAGTTTGATCATAAAATGTTAAAATATTTAAAATTCTGTGTAAGTATATTTTTCAATCTAAAACAACTTTCCAAAATAAAATAAAAATTTTTGATAATTTAATTTCACTCTATAATTCAAAACATTAATAAGTGTGTTTACAGTAACAATCATTAGGTGTTTACTCTAGTCCTGAGAGACACGTATCAAGTAAGTTTTGTTATTACGATGCCTGGATCTTCACAGCTCAGAATTGTCATTTATCTCAGTCCTTCATCGTTAAGTCCAACCAAAGAGCAAACTTACAAATAAATTCACACGACTTTCTTTAGTTTGTACTGTACTATATAAGTATCATATTCCAAACAATAGTACTTTCAACTCAACCATAAGGAAAAACATTCTAAAACAACCTGTCCAAAAGTGATACCTACTTTCTCAACAAATACATGTTGTAAAATTTCAATTTTAATTTTACGTATGTAAAGCATAACATAAATGTCCGACTCTAACCATATAATAATATGGGTATGACTTTTTGCTTTTCAGAAAATGGGGAGGTTTTCAGAAAATGAGGACACCCCCACCCCCCCTCACCATTTCTTTATCATCATCTACCAGAATTGCTCAAAATGTTATGTAGACAGGTCTTTTTACACAGCATGGCATCGCCAGTTGTAAATTATGGTTGTAAATAACATGATTTGAGACAAAGATAGTGTTGGATCTTGTTTGATGAATACACAGCTAGAGTCAGGCACCAACGATAAAAGGTTTTTTAATGTTTTTCCTTTAATAGCGACTTAAAGGCAGTACAATAAAAGGGCAGGTCGTAAGCACAGCAACTGAAAACTTTACTTTCAATCAATCCTTTTCCAGCATTATGAGAGCAAGCAAGGAAAACAACTGCTTCACAGGAACATTAAACATTTGCTAAAAAAAAGGAGAGAACACTGTTCCACCATAACTTATTCAGAAATCAGCATAATCTCCGATTAAAAAGAAAACAGTTACGGGTTAGAATTTCTGTGCAAATAAATCTCAGAAACATATGTAAGACAACTCAAAACTTTTCACAAAATCAGCACATAATCACTGACCAAAGAGGAAAAGAGTTAAAACCCTTTGTTGCATGGTGTCCTCTAGAGTGGACATGATTTTTCGGCCACGCCATGGTGTCACTGACTCTCACACCCATGTCATTTTGTTTCGTCCAAAAAATTGAAAACTTCCTTGTTATTATAGTTGAATAATAAATAATAATAAATAGCATTTGTATAACCCACATCCCCACTCGACAGCAAGCTCTATGCGCTTTACACTATATTAGAAAAACCTGGGCAGTTACTAGCTACTCTTTACTATATTCTTTTTACCAAAAGTTTTAAAAAAGTCTTTGTAGCCTATGCATTATGTCCACTATGGTGGACACATACCCATCACAAAATCACCACACGTAGTGAGAGTTCACTGTGTCTAGAACTGTGGACAAATTGACCCCCATCCTTTTTCGTTAAAACATATTTTTTGGTTATTTTTAGGCATAGAACAACTTGTAGGGTGAATTTGAACCTCTATTATCGTTCCATATCTCATGCAACAAAAGGTTTAAGTGTTAGAGTATTCGTTTGGCAGAATGTTGAAGCAAAATGTGGGTGGGCTTAGAGACTACCTTTGTATTGTCGGGGTCACAGTAGTCCAGGAGAGTGTCACAGAAGTGGTAGCCCATCATCTCAAAGTCTTTCTGACTGAAGTGGAGACCTTTCTTCTTGCCCATACTTGAACCACAGAATGTGGCCTGTATGTGAAAGGGGGGAAAAAGAGAGTAAACATTTGTTTTAGAATAGATTAAAAAGACAAGTTTATTTATTCCCTCGCTACAGGGAATTATCTTTACTCAGAGAGCCATAAATCTCCCAAGTGCTGCAAAAGAAATCCAGGCAACATCATTTGTATATCATTGTGGTAAAATCAGGCGCTAATCAAAATAATGAAACCAAACAAACTAGCATTTTTCGGTTCATTGGGCAACACCGCTTATTTCCATCAAAAATTTAATTTCTGTGCCGATTATATTGAAAAATATTGATCAAAGGCACAAAAAAATGTAAATTTGCAGTGTCCATGGACATTAAACTTTGGGAGTAAGTAAATTTAGGCGGCCATATTCTTGTTAATTTTACCTCTGACTTCAGGCGACCTCCATTTCCTTCAATCACAAATATCTCTACTTCTATTCAAGATATAGGCGTACGAGTATTATTTTAAAAAATGAAACGCAAGAAAAATGGATAGTTTGTCTAGAAATTTTTTTTCCAAATGATAAATAAATGATTGAACTCTGACCTCTAATGTGTAGCTGTTGTGGACTCCCATGTTCCACATGACCACACGACCTGTGCCCTCTTTGCTCTTCTGAACTTTGAACTTGCATGACTTGAAGCAGAACTGAAATATCCAAGAATAAATACTTGCAAACACCACAAATGAGGAGACAATATAAGAATTAAAGTAACGCAAAAGACAGGGGGAAAAAAAGGGTAGCCTACACTAGTTCTTGAAGTGCAAAAAAATGAATAATGCTAATCATCTCAGCATACAGAAAATACTGGCAAACATGAAACATTACACAATTTATTCCATCAAACATAATTGTACACACACACACACACACACACACACACACACACACACACACACAGACGCAACAACAAACATATGCACACGATCCATCCAGTCCCTCCTTCCCTCTCTTCCCTTCCACTCTACTGTGTTTAAGAACGTGTTAATTTCCCCCTTTGGGAAAGGCCTAAAGACACTTCAGTCAGCAGCACTGCCAGGGGGGGGGGGATGACTCATTTTGTCAGCACGCCTCACAAATGACATTACAAAGAGAATCCAAGTCAGCGGTCAACAAGCACTGACCTTGTCAGGGGAGTTCTTGTTAAGCATGGAAGGAAAAATGCGTTCGTGGAAGCGTTTGTTGGAATGGTGCGATTGCTCACAGCCGTAGATGAACACATTTTGGCGTCGGCTGTGCCCGTGAAGGTCACAATAAACTATAATGTCTCTCTCTTGCAGCAACCTGGGGATGGGGGTTAATAAAATGAGATCATTCAACGGCACTACAAATATCAGCAGTTCAGATACAACATTTTCCCGAAAAAGCCCAGCAAGTTAAAGGCTGAAAAATTTGGCACTTCCTACTAAACCTCACTCATCATCATCATCCAGTGCCAGATCTGCGACAGACATCGGCGATCAGGGTTTTCCATTCATTCCTTTGCTCGGATGCTCTCAAAAAAGCTACGTTTCCCGTTACCCATTTGTTTAGGTTTCATAAGTATGTTGTTCTGGGCCTACCCCTGCCTCGCTTGCCCTCAATTTTGCCAGTGAGAGCTAGATGTTCAAGACCCTTATGTCTTTTCAGGAGCCCTCACTACCCAAGCCAAAATATATACTAAAGGAGATGTCAAACATCTACAACAAATACAATTCAGCAAAGCTAAACATGTTAAAAATGCTTTATAATAGACACAACTCAACAATTTAAAACACATAAAAAAAATGCTTTAACTCTTTATCTCTGTCAAGTCGCTCCCAGCGCAGCAGCTCGCAGTCAGAACCGCAGTGCCGGTGAGCTGCGCACATTCCTTTACAATGTCTTCGACGTCAAATTACTTTTCGACAATTGCCAAAAAGAGGTCTCTTTCCTTGGGAGATCATTCATTAGATGAAGAACTATCGAAATAGGTTCACTTTTAATGATTTAATGACCCGTTTAATGACGTTTTTGTCATTTTTAGATTTAGTAAAAAAAAAAAATTTTTTAAAAGGCCCCGGCATAGTGGTTTTACCCTTTACCCCTCATGGAGATAAAGAGTTAATGACCAATTTTGTGACATACATGTTAATTTTACATTTCGTACCAAAATAGGGCCCCGGCATAGTGGGTTTACCCCCCACAGAGAAAAAGAGTTAAAATAAATACAACTCAACGAGAGCACAAGTATTCTGATCTAAGCAACTGACTTGCGTATCATATTCTTTGTGTGCCACACAGAGGGGTAGGCGTCCTTCAGGGAGCTTTTGTAGTTTCGGTTGAGGTCACGGCCCGCCAGAGAACACCGGTAGTTCCCCACGATGACCCCGTCAGGGTTGAGCATGGGAACCACTTTGAAGATGAACGTGTCTCTCAGCAACTGGGGGTGACGACGTCGAGGAAATATTATGTCATGCAACACAAACACTGCAAGGAATGCATTGTCGGTGACCTATTCAGATATACTATGCCCAAAATTTTGGAAAGTTTAAAAAAAAATTGCAGTCTTTTAATCTGTGGTTTGCGGTTGCGCGTGGTCAAGAATATTATTTAATATAATAATAAATTATTATAAATTACATTTACTTTGGCAAATATTCATAGGGAAAGTACTGAATGCACTTTACAGAAGTACAAAGAACATGGTTATAATAGTGTTCCTTTCATCTATTCTCTCCCTCCCTCCCTCCCTCCCTCTCTCTCTCTCTCTCTCTCTCTCTCTCTCTCTCTCTCTCTCTCTCTCTCTTAAATTAGAATTAAAAAAACAACCTTGGCATCAGCGGAGCTTCCAGTGACAAAATCGAGAAAACCTTTCATCATCCAGCTTGCGTTACTCTCCCCTGGGTGAACCCGTGCTGTCACTACTACAGCTTTCTTGTGCTGAGGATCAATACAGAAGAAAACAGAATAAAATAAATATTAATATTAATAAATAAAATCAAAGACTGAGAGCAAGAAATGACCATGTTTACTTGGGTCAAAATGTCAAAAATAGAATACTGGAGGCATTGAAACAAAATGGCATGATGTCAGTAAATAACAAACCAATCCACTCAGTAGTTTTGAGTTTTCTTCTAAGAATTGCCTATGGCACCTTGCCCTCAAAATAAAGAATGTGAACATTTTCACTCCTAGCCCTCAGCCAACCAAACACAACGTTTAAAGCGAATGGTGAAAGTATTATGAATTTTTCCTTGTGGTATAGGATAGTCACCGAGTCAGAGCAGGGAGAAACTGACGAGCAAGATAAAAAAAATAAGAAACGAAAAAGGTAAAATGCATGCATTCGAAATCCGCTTGACCTACTATACACATCCAGTTCATTCTGTAAAGCACGTACACTTCTCTTGCGAAAAAACCCAGCAAAGGAATAAAGTAAAACTTTCTATAAAAACTGTCAAAATTTTAAAACACCTGAAGTCAGACAGCAGACACTGAAGGTCGTATACATTTAATAACCCTCTTGACACGAGGGTTAACTAAGAGGTGGGACCTCCAAAATGAACGCCCATCTCAGATAAGACCAAGCCAAATGGGAGGAGAACCTTAAGAATTTCCTAAAGTTTGAGTGTCCCATTATGGATTCAAACCGGGGCCATCTGACCATCTGCTCCATGATCCAGCCTGATACAAACCGAGCTAATGATGCACCCAAACAGTAAACAGATAAATCAGTTGACAAAAGCTCCACATTAATTGAAAAAGTGTACACAAATCTGGGAGTACCTTCTAGTTTAGTTGTAGGCAGGTTTTACGGAGCTCCCAGCTGCATAAGGTCATAGGAGCTCCAAAGGGTGGATATCAACAGAGAAGTCCAAACAGGGAATCAGGCTTACCTGCTCATTCATCTAGCCTCAACAGCACAAAGTCTGCTTCGACTATCAAGGCACCCCCGAAATAGCAGTTCACAAGAGAGGGACAAACATACAAAAGAAGTAGAGGAAAAAGGACGCTAGTTAGGACGAGGAAAGAAAAAGCAGCAGCTCCCCCTATGTTGTGCCGGCATGGCATGCCACAGTATGAGAATGACATTGATAATTCAGCCCATTTACAGTTCTACTGTGTACAAGAACATATTAATATCTCCCATTCGGGAGCAGCTTAAAGACAACATTCAGTCAGCAGCACTGCTCTGGTGAGGGGGACTCCTTAGTTTGAGTGTCCCATTGTGGATTCAAACCAGGGCCATCTGGCAATCTGCTCCATAATCCAGTCCGACACCAACCGAGCTAATGATGTACCCAAACAGCAAACAAATAAAATCAATCTACAAAAGCTCATCATAAAATAAAAAATTGTACAAAAATCTGGGTGTACCTTCATGTCCTCTGGAGACTGAGATGCAGATGTGATAGTGAGTATGTACACAAGGTTCCCTGCCAGCGTCCGACACAAAACTCGCTGTTTGCAGATCCGAGACTTGATGGGGTCGTTGGATACTTCTAGAAGATAGTCCTAAAAATAGTAACAAAAATCATTGTTATCTATCTATCCGACTCTTTGTGAAAGTTTCAACATCTAAAACAAAGCAGTGAAAAAACCAAATGAAGAAAATTAAGGAATTAATGTTTTTCTCTTCATCAGATTCCCTGTTCTTTGGTAACGTTCCCTTTTTTGGAAAATAATCATAGAAATAGAAATAAAAATTACAGTCTTTCTTCTCTTCATCAGATTTCCTACTCTGTGTAAAAGTTCCCAAGGAAGGGGGTGTGGGAAAGGTGGAAAGAGTAGGGGAGGGGGGTAGAGGAAGGGGGTAGAGGAAGGGGGGAGGGGAAAGGGGGGTAAACAAAGTGACTTCATAAGGACCAAGTCTGCTCTTTTTTTTTTCCAGGACTACCACAGAATATTGAATCAAAAAGCATATCATAGACATCTTCTTTTTCTTCAAGGTTCCCCATATATATATTATGTAAAAATCACAAACAATCCCATCACCACCAGCTGTCAGCTGTCTCGCCTACCTGCAGGTCTGTGTAGGTGTAGGGGTAGCAATGAGAGAAGTAAACCGTGTCATGGTCGTGCTCGAAGCGAACCGTCCAGGTCATTGAGTAGTAGTAGTGGTCTGCTCTGCCGGCCTCATACCTGAGGGTATATTAGTAGACAGGTTGAATTAATCGCTGCATCATTAAAATACCTAAACTCTTATGGAGATCTGTATAAGATTAATACACGTTGCAAGGTGCATAGAGCTTGCTGTTGAGAAGGAATTTGCACAATACAAAAGCTATCTATTATTATTATTTCTATTATCATTATTATTATTATTTTTATTATTAACCCCGGGTGGTGCCACCTGCCAAAGTGTCTTTAGGCCATTCCCAAAGGGGGGGACATTTCTCGTTCTAATGCACAGAAGAATTGCAAATGGGCAGATCCAACATTGTCATGCTCATAACTGTGCCTGAACTACAAAAGGGAACAGCTGCTTTTTCTTTCCCAATCCTTACTATCGTCATTTTCCTCTACTTCTTTGGTACATTTGTCACACTCTTGTGACCCGCTATTTCCATGGTGCCTTGATAGTCGAAGCAGACTTTGTGTTGTTGAAGCTAGAGAGGTGAGCAGAGTAAGTCTGATTCCCTGTAAGGACTTCTCTGTTGACATCCACCCCTTGGCACTCATATGACCTTATGCAGTTGTGAGCGCCGTAAAACCTCCACTAAAACAAAACTATTATTATTATTATTATTATTATTATTTACTATTATTATTATTATTATTACTAAGGATATTTTACATTTGTACGAGGCCAACTGTTCATCCAACTTTCAGGTGACCTATTCATCTCAAACTTCCTTTACAACTCTGTCCCTATAGAACTCATTTGCACAAAATTAATACTATACAGAAATTTAACATTTCAGGCAATAAATATAACTGTATGTTTGTCATTTGCAACATGTTTGAGTTAATCTGGATAAACACACATAGACAAGAAAGAAAAAGAAAAATGATAGACACTGCAGGAGGTTCTATTCATTCAAATTGTCTTTGAAGTACTAAATAAAATCTGATTCAACCATCTAAATTAAAAATAGAAAACACTGATTGATTCCCTGGGGTTTTGGCCAATTTTGGTATGACTGTAAACAACCGAGCGATTCCCTGCTCCAGTTGAGCTCAGCTTGACAAAACTGCCTGCATGCATGAATGCATACAAACACATACATACACACACACACACATAGACCCACACCCACCCACCCACTCATCCTCACAATCACACGCATGCATGCAGGCACACACGTATGCACACAGACACATGCACACACATTAACCCATCCATTCATCCTTGCACTGAATCATGCACACATGCACACACACACACACACACACACACACACACACACACACACACACACACACACACACACACACACACACACACACACACACAGACACCCCGAGACACACACATTCACAACATGCCTTACCTGACATTGTTCTTGTAGTACTTAATGTTCTGCCCTGCCCGAACCCAGCCTACTTTGTTGAGAGCAGACCCCCCTCCCCCTCCACACACAAAGGCACACACATACACACACACACACACACACACACACACACACACACACACAGAGACAGACACACACACACACATGC